AGTCAGACCCAATTCATAGTGACCCCTCCTTGGGTTTCTGAGGCAGTATCACTATGGAAGTAGATTGCCCAACCTTCCTTCTGAGGAGTGGCTGGTGAGTTTGAACTGCCAGCCTTCTGGTTAGCAGTCAAGTGCCTTAGGGACTATGCTACCAGAGCACCCACAATACATTAAAATATAAACTTCTGCACCTAATTTTCTAATCAATATTTTATATATTTTTTCTTAATGAGGGACCCCCAATTTTATAAGCTTCAAGACTCACAAATACTTGCTTTTAAGGAAGATGATTTATATATTTTTTTCCTGAGATTTAATCTCTATTGAGAATTTTTTTTTTTCCTATTCAAATACATGCCTTTGAAATCACCCTTAGTGAACTTCTGTTTATTTATGGCCACTCTCTCAAGTTATATTTCGATCTAGGTAGGAAATTTCATTAAGTGCTATTTTATGGCTTAATGTACAATGTCAATCATTATTTTTTCATTAAGCAATTTAAGTATGCTGGTAACACATAAAATTAATTCATAAAGGAGTGGCATGGGTTTATTGATGTATCCTTGAAAACTGGCTTCAGTGCAATAAATTCTCAGCTTTGTAATCACAAAAGGATAGAACAAAAACAATGCAAACAAAGCCAACATACTCATGACAAGAGAGGAGCCAAAATACAAACCTGTTCTCAATGCGAGAAGAAAACAACAGCTCTCAATTCCTCTTTTAAATTGTTTTCATGGTTTCAGAGTTGAGCATAATCTGGTCCAACTGTTTTTCCAACCCACACCTCCCTTTACAGTCTCTCCACATGTAAGACTGTGGTTTTGCTGAGTTCTAAGAACAACAACAACAAGGACCTTAGGAAGGAGCTCTGGTAGCACAGTGACTAAGGCGTCTGATTGATAACCAGAAGGTTGGTGGTTCAAACCCACCAGCCACTCTGCAGAAGCAAGACTGCACAATCTACTTCTGTAAAGATTTACCAACTTGGAAACCCAATGGGGGTCATTACGAGTCAGAATTGACTCCATGGCAGTGGGTTTTGTTTTGGTTTTAAGGGCTTTAGTAAATGAAAGATTTCAAGAAATGACTACCTTTTACCTCATCAAAGTTTCAACATGTGGTAACATGATTTGAAAGATCAATTGCAATAATGTATAAGCTTTTTGAATTAAGTGTTGTACAAATGTTACTTTATTGGTGTTGTCCTTATGATTGGGGGCAACTTTTCATCTCTACCAAGTAGAAATAAAAAAAGAATTGGTTAAGTTGTATCAGAAGACATTTAGAGTTTTAATGGAAGAAAATCCTGACTCTAAACCAAAGTAACAAGAGTTTAACATTAAAGATGATTTGCGAGATATTGGCAGTGAAGGCTATGGTCTGTTGGAAGGTGGGGAAAAGGAAAGAAGACTGGAGATAATTGCATGTACCTATTTCTCGGAGCTCTGGTAGCATAGTGGCTAAGGCACTTGACTGCTAACCAGAAGGCTGGCGGTTCAAACCCACCAGCCACTCCTCGGAAGGAAGGTTGGGCAATCCTACTTCCGTAGTGATACTGCCTCGGAAACCCAAGGAGGGGTCGCTATGAGTCAGGGCTGACTCGACGGCACGTTCCAACCCACCTTCCACTTCTCGGAAGGAAAAGTGGGCAATCTACTTCCGTAATGATACTGCCTCGGCAACCCAAGGAGGGGTTGCTATGACTTGGGGCCCACTTGATGTCACATAACAAGAACAATTTAATAACTTAGTTCCTACCAGTCTGCTTGAAGCTAACTCTGTTAAGCAGAAAATAATGTTGATCATGGTTACACAAATGTACTTTGATATGTATAAAGGTAAGTCAACTGGTAGTATAAGGATGATTTACAATGAAGCAGGAATTCATGCTAAGGAAAAAGTAAATTCTTAAGAGCAACCTAGAAAAAGTCAGGCTTTCTACATCAGAGAAGGAATATCTACCTAGTAATATAAATAAAACTGATCAAAATATTTATTTACAGACACACAGAGACAATACTAAAATGCCTTTCAACATACTAGATTAGGGACAAAAAAATGTGTTTGTAGCCTTGACTCTTCCACAATCATTTACTATCATTACATATATCATTAAAATGATTTCTTGAAGGAAAATGTGTTAGTTTAAAAAAATCAGCAATTTTGTGAGTCAGTAATTTTGATAAAACTAATGAAAGGTATGTCTAAGATTTTCTTTGGAGAATATTTGAGTGGTCTGAGAGTACCTTTGTTCAGTAATATTAAGTTCTCAGATAAAACATATTTATAGCTTTGAAAATAGTGGATACATTTAAAAATCTTAATCTGCTTTGGTAAAATAAATGCATATTTTAGATTAGATTAATTTGGGGTTTACCAAATTAATGTAATTTGTTCAAATCGTTGTTTCATGGTTCAGTTTAGTTCAAGCCCTTTGTAGGCATGGCCCCAAAAGAACAATGAAAGATTACTCCTGTAGGAAACAGTCAGAAGGGGAGTATTTATCATCAATAATTTATATTGCCGCAAGGTTATAAAATTGATGTATTATCTCTACACAAATGCTGAGTAAAAGACTATTGCAGTAATAAAAAATAACCAGTTCAACATAATCAAAAGCTAGAGAGACTTCATAACATCCAACTGATTTTAAAAAGGAACCTCAGGATCCTACCCACTTGGTCTGAGCCAAGTTTATGACCAGGCTGTTTCTGAAGCAAGGCAACTTTGTTCATCCTGGGCAGAGGAGTGTTTGTTGGGTGATCACGATGTTGTCTTAACATCACTGTCCAATCCTTTCCCTGCCCACTCCCCCCACCTTTTTTTTTTTTTAAGTTTTCCCCTAATACAGTGCCTGAAAACTTCACACAGAAAAAAGTGAGGAGGGAAATGCAGAGTAAATGATTTTCTGAAATTTCTTTTCAAAAATTTTCCTGTGTACGTAGGAAATGAAAAAGAAGAGAACACATGTACACACTATCTATTATGGAGGAGAGCATCACTGATTGTGATAAACACTAGTTCTGAAGACATGCAATAAAAGAGGACATGCCACTAGATCTCTTTTCCAACAACAGAATATTAAAGGGCCTTTAATTAAAAGAATGTTGTTGTTGTTGTTGTTATGTGCCGTCGAGTCGGACCCGACTCATAGCGACCCCTCCTTAGGTTTCCGAGGCAGTATCACTACGGAAGTAGATTGCCCCATCTTCCTTCCGAGGAGTGGCTGGTGGGTTTGAACCGCCAGCCTTCTAGTTAGCAGTCAAGTGCCTTAGGCACTACGCTACCAGAGCTCCCGAATTAAAAGAATATAAACTCTTAAAATTAGCTTTTAAATAAAATACAATATATAGCAATTGCATATAACTAGTTTTTCTTTGAAAAGCATTTTCACGATTATTCCCTTTTATTTTCACAACCACCCTGCGAAATGGGTCTGGTAGGCATTTTTCTTTGACATACAGAGGGGCATGCAGACGCTGGGACAGGTCCCAGCCAGGGCTGCCGCTTGCCTGTAGGGTCATTCCGAGGTCAAGGATGGGACTATCAGCCCACTCCGCTCCCAGGCTCAGCTGACACCCGCTTAGGCGACATCACAGCCGGGGAAGGCAGAGGCCCGGGAGAGCGACCTCCCTCAGCCATTCTTACCCGGAGCGCGAATTCCTGCCCACACCCTGTAGGGAGAGGGATAGCTTCAGATAAATGCTAAGGTCCATGTCAAGATGGTGGTCAAGGGCTTTGTGGCGTCAGAGTGATGTGGGTTTGAATCCCCAGACCGTTTCTTACTGTATGCAACTTTGGACAAGCTCTTTGAGCCTTAGTGTTTTCATCCGTAGGGCAGGCATGCTTGCTTTGTCCGTGGGGTTTCCACCCAAAACCAAAGCCACTGCCACGGAGTGGATTCCGACGGAAAGCGACCCTATAGGACATAGTAGAACTACCCTATAGGGTTTCCAAGGCTGTAAATCTTTATGGAAGCAGACTGCCTCCTCTTCCTGCTGGGAGCGGCTAGTGGATTCAAATCGCCAACCTTTTGGTTGGCAGTCGAATGCTTTAACCGCTGCGCCTCCAGAATTCATTTTCCATGGGGTTAACTGATGATTAAATGATATAATGCAATAAAGGTCTTAGCCTACTGCCTAGGTGACATGATGGCTATAAATATTATCTCTCGGATGGGTTAGGTCACGATCTACCCGCTTCAGGTGTCTCCAGCAGTAAAAAGGTGCCGAGTAGACAGTAATCTCTCATTAGCAAACATTACTTTACAAACAAAAGAACAACAAAAAAACCCCCACCGTCCTTCTCTAATCCTCCACCGCCTTGTCCTGAATAACACTTGTTTCCACAATGAGGAGGCTGAAGGACAGGATCCGAACCTAAGAAACAATAAAAATTACTGGGAAATTAAAAAGCGATAGGATAGGACAAGTAGGATAAGGATTGGAGAGAGCGGGAGGCGAGGAAGTCTCTGGTCGGCTCCGAACAGCTGCGACCTCAGTCATAGGCAGGAGAACCTCTCGAGGACAACGCGAGGCCAAGAAGCCTCCTCTGGCCTCCAGGGGCTGACCTGCGGGACACGCCTTCGGGCGCTGGGAATCGAAGCAGAGAGGAGGCGGAGTTATAGATTTAGGGCGTGGTCCTGGGGGCGGGACTATGATATAGGGGGCGGAGCTACAGCGGGATGGGGGCGGGGCCTCGTGGAGTTTCTCGGCTGCGCGCGCCACGTCTCACTTAGCCGGCGTATAGAGGAAAGACGACGGGAGGGAAAGACCGAGAGGGGCGGGCACTATCTTCTCTCGCGAGAGCTGGCGACGGCAGTGGCGGTGGCGGCGGCTTGTCTGTGAGACGCGTGGGGGCGGGGGGGAGAGAGGCGGCGGTAGCGGCGTCGGAGCTACGCCACACGGGGCCGGTGCGCTGGGAGCCAGAGAGCCGAGCGGGGTCGTGGCGGCGGTGGCGAGAAGAGGGAGAAGAGGGGGGAAGAGGAGGGGGTGCCAATGGCGGGGCAGCAGTTCCAGTACGATGACAGCGGGAACACCTTCTTCTACTTCCTTACCTCCTTTGTGGGGCTTATCGTGATCCCGGCCACATACTATCTCTGGCCCCGAGACCAGAATGCCGGTGAGTCCCGCAGACAGCCGCTCGCGGACCCGCGCAGGCCCCTCAGGCGCCTTCGGGCCCCGCCGCTCCCGCCTCGGCCCAGCCCATAGTGCCGCGTTTGGGGTGACACCGCCCGCACGGCTGGGCCTCGCGTCCAGGCGTCTGCCGCTGCTGGGGCCCGGACTCGGCGGTGTTTCGCTCGTTGCCTCCTCGAGCTCCCCCCCCTCCATTGTCCTCTTCAGGAGTTTTGCTTCGTACCCTCTCCTCCATTGTTCTGGACGTTTCTTGCAGCCTCCTCTAGTCTCTTTGTTTTCAGTGTCTGGTTTGTTGGATGTTTTTCTGTGTGGAGGAAGCAGGGTGAGATGGGAGGATGGGAATTGGGAGGTGAGAGAAGAGTTGGCAAAGAAGAAGCCGAACGTGCAGGCATAACTCTGAGCTCCCAAGCCATGGCCCTCCTTCCTCCGCGGCCCCGTTTCCCTGTTGCAGGTGTCGTTACAGATGTTTTGGGTACCCTCTGAGCTGGGTGGCATGTTTAGGACTCTGAGCCCACCGACCACCCTCTGCCCCTCTCTCCGATTGCATTTTCAGTTGTTTATTCACACTGGAGGGGTTGGATGTAATGCTAATATTCTCCTTTGCAAAAATAGGATTTTCTCTATCTCCTCTCTGAAGTTCCCTGTTTATGACGGAAAAAGTGCAAGTATGAGGGATTAAGCCTCTTAATTCGTCTTGTCGGTAGTTGTGAGGTAGCTGGTCAGTTGCTTTTATTTCTAAATCTTTTCACTTGAAACAGCATTGGATTGGAATACAGAATAATGTAGACTATTTTCAACGCATTTTATGTTCGAGTAATGTTTGGTTCCATTTGTTGCATTTCACTAGGACATATGGCAGATGACATTCTTAAAGCTGATGGAAAGGCAAGAGCCTGAAGAGTTATTTGTGGTCGTAGCGTTAACCGTGACTACTAGGTTTTGAGTATTAATATTTAGAGAAAGCTTTCTGTTCCACTAAGAACTATGCTAACTGAACTTGCTTAAACATCTCTTGAGTGTTGTGGTGGTCTTGGTTGTCCAGGTTATTTATTGTTCTTTGGGGAAATTGTTAACAGTGAAGCATTGAATCAGCTCAGAATTTTTTAATGCTTTAGGACTGATTCCAAGCCTCGTAAAACTCTTGAGCTACATAATAGAACTAAAATAAATGGAAATGAGAAAAATAGTAACACAGGATTCCATCTTTTTGTACATTTAATGAGCTTAAATATCCATTAGATGGGAAAATCTGCCCAAAGTTATCATTCTTAATGGTTTTCTTATTCAGTGAATAGTTTATTAAAATTGGAAATTGGACTGTTGTGCCTTCTTCTACTAAGTGCATTTAAATTGTTTTTTTTTTTTTTTTGGGGGGGGCAATGATTGTGTGTAAGTGATGATGGTTCTTACTGCTTTAAGTTATCTGCAAAACCTAGGCCAGTCTTGTGGTGATTTTATTTTAGAGTTAAAACAGGGCACTTTTCAGTATAGTAGTTTATTTTCAGTTATCACCCGTTGGTGTGTGCAATTGATTGTGTAAGGGTATTAGGGGAGTAGGTAGGTTCATTTAGAATGTTTTGAGAAGCTGTCCTGATTTCAGAAATAAGCATCATTTTAATCTACAGTGGATTTTTTTGAAATTTGCAAGTAATATGTTCATCGTGGGCTTTGTTTTATAAAATTTGCTTGATAGCTCATAGACAAGGTGTATCTAAGCCCCTTGTATGTGCAGGTGGTCTTAGGAAAAGTGGTAGGAGTTTAGGCGGAGGAAATGAGTATTGACCATTTGTAATTAATGAACTTCAAATGTTATTTAGTATTTTTAAATATACAATGAAGTAGGTACTATTATTATTCTTATTTTACAGAATAATTGAAGTTTAGAGAGTTTAAAAAACTTCCCGGTGGTGCCTGAATTAGAACATTGACATGCTTAACTTCAAAGCCTTCTGTTTCTATACTGTTAGATAGAAAGGGAAGTGAACTGTGGCTGTTGATTTACCCCTTCTTTCCATTCAACTCTGCTTTAGACTTTCCTTAGTACTTAGTGTGCTCATGTTGATGTATTTGTTTGATCTCACCTAAAGTTATGAGAATTAAAGTGGACACTTAAGTTCTAATTTTATGACAGTTGGTGGGCACCACTTGGGCTTTTTTTTTTTGTAGGTCTACCACAGTTATACTCCTGGGAAGGAAGGTTGGGCAATCCTACTTCCATAGTGATACTGCCTCGGAAACCCAAGGAGGGGTCGCTATGAGTCAGGGCCGACTCGATGGCACATAACAACAACAACAACAACAACCACAGTTATAGAGGAGCTCTGGTAGCATAGTGCCTAAGGCACTTGACTGCTAACCAGAAGGCTGGCGATGCAAACCCACCAGCCACTCCTCCTTATGTTCCTAATCGACGGCACGTAACAACACCACCGCAGTAATATGGGGTTGCTATGAGTTGGAAGGGAGCTCTGGTAGCGTAGTGCCTAAGACACTTGACTGCTAACCAGAAGGCTGGCGGTTCAAACCCACCAGCCACTCCTCGGAAGGAAGATGGGGCAATCTACTTCCGTAGTGATACTGCCTCGTAAACCCAAGGAAAGGTCGCTATGGGTAGGGTCCGACTCGAAGGCACATAACAGCAACACAACAACAACATGAGTTGGAAAGGAGCTCTGTTGACGCTGTGGTTAAAGCATTGCACTGCTAACCAAAAGATCAGCAGTTTGAAGCCACCAGCCGCTCCATGGGAGAAAGATAAGGCAGTGCTCATCTGTAAAGATTTAAAGCCCTGGAAACCCTGAGGGACTGTTCACTGTCAATAAGGTCACTGAGTTGGAATAGACTCAACGGCAGTGTTTTTTTTTTTTTTTTTTTTTTGGGGGGGGTACCACAATAACTATAGAGCCCTGGTGGTGCAGTGGTTAAGCTCTTGGCTGCTAACTGGAAGGTTGGCTCCATGGGAGAAAGACCTGGTTATCTGCTCCTGTAAAGAGTACAGCGCAGAAAGCTGTATGGGGAAGTTCTGCTCTGTCACAGGAGGTTGCTCTGAGTCAGAATGGACTTGTGGCACAGAATACTCTTAGGACAGATGTTTTAGAATTTTGTTTTATACATGTACAACAATTTATACATACACAGATCAGTGCCATTGGTCACATTATTCATACCGTATCAGCATTCTGACACTCTACTCATTGTTTTACTACCATTAACTTTTACTCTCTGTGCCCCTTAAAGTTCTCGTCTGTGCTTTAGAGTTGTTGTCACTTTCATCTTAAACAGATAATGCTTGAAAAAAATGCTGTGTTCAAGGCCAACATTCTTTACTGAGCTAAACTGTGGTTTAAAGATGACTTAATGGGATAGTTTTGGTTCCCATAATTAAAGATTATTTCATGACACTAAATTTGGGGGTTCTTTCTGTCACAGTTGATCCAGTAAGTGTGGTTTCCATAAGAATTTAATGTTCTCTACCACATTTTCCCTCCTTTCTATCAGTACCCATTTATTAGGTCCTTGATAGAAATATTCAGTAATGGTATGGGGCACCATCCATTTCTTCTGGTCTCATGACAAAGGTGCTAGTAATTCATGAAGGCACTTAGACCTGCAGTCCCTTTGCTTCCCGCTCCAGCTCAGTAGAGACCAATTGTTGTATCCGGGGTGGCTGCTTTCAAGGTTGTAAGATGCCAGGTGCTACTAACTGAACTAGGAAGAACTGTCCCACAGGGTATTGAATAAAGGATGTGGACCTATTGTTGCATTTTTGAATAACACACAGAGTATTTTAATATTTGATTTAGAAGCTTATTTTATATAATTCTTTTCTGTGAAACTGTAAGTAGCCAAATAAAAAAAATGTAGGTGGAGGTCTGGGTTGCCCACATTATATATTAGAATTTCAGAGTTCCTCTGATAATCTTGACTTTCCACTGATAGCATCTGTATGAAAGCATGAAAAGGTTTGCTCTGCTAGCAGTTCCAAACCAGATAGCAGTTACACAACCTTAATGTTCAGTTTAAGTAATCTTTATTTAGTTTGTTTTTTAAATTGTGATTTGGGTGAAAGTTTACAGAGCAAATTCACTTTTCATAAAGCAGTTCACATATACTTTGTCTCATGACATTGACTACAATTTACCATAATGTAACATCTCCCCTTCTATTTCCTCCCCATAGTTAACTCTTCCTTCCCTGTGTATTTAACTCCCATGCACCTGCCCCACAAGCTGTCTCCCTGTGCATACACAGCCCTTCTATTTTCCCATGATTGTTCTCTCCAAGGAGTGTATCTGCTTAGTGTAAATGTTCACCTCTTAGACCTGTCTTTTGTTTGGCTGGAAGCCACAGGAGTGGGTTCAATTCCAGACCTGAAGGGCAGCTAGGGGCCATAGTCCTAGTGGTTCCATCAGGCTCTATCAGACCAGCAAACCTGGGTCCCCCTCCCCCCTTTATTTTTTTCCTCAGATGTCTTTGAGTTTTGTTCCACGGTCTCCCACTCTATCCAGGATCTCCTACAGTGATCCCCACCCCAACGGTGATTGACAGTGGTAGCCGGACACTATTTAGTTCTTCTGGTCTCATAGTCGTATAGACTGAAGATTGCATGGTGTATCAGTCGCTTGGACTAATTGTTTCCATGAATCTTTGATTTTCTTCATTATTCTGTGTTCTGGACGAGGAGGGACTCATCATTGCATCGAGATGGCTGCTTGCAAGCTTTTAAGATCCCAGTCGCTACTGGCCAAAGTAGGATGTGGCACAATGTTTTGTATAGTATGTTATATACCAATTTTATTTTCTTAAATGACACATTTTTGTGGCTTTTCAGTTTCAAGGTAGACAGTTTTTTCATTTTGGCTCCTTTGGGATTATTGGGCTATAGTATGTTAGAAAGCATTGCTCCATTTCATGGGTTGCAAAATCTAGGGTTTGAGAAATAGAAATAGCTTGGACACTGGCATGTTTGACATGTTAATTGAACTT